GGGCTGAGACAGGAGAGAAATTTCCGCGTTTTGTAGAAAATTCCTTTGAACAAGTGGAAACATAATGAAATCACATTCGCGACATCAATCGCAACAAGAAGATACGTATTATACATTGAAAACGTGCTATGGTACGGAAATCTCCCTCACTCCCTCTCTCTCTCTCTCTCTCTCTCTCTCTCTCTCTCTCTCTCTCTCTCTCTCTCTATCTCATGTATTTTGTTGTAACGTAACAAGATACACAGTTGATGCAACTAATAATATATCGAAGAGAAATTAAAATCGGAATGCTGCTGTTGAGTGTACGGTGGAATAAAATATTATATATCAAAACGTGTAATTGGTTAAAATCATTAAAAGCATAAAGAGCTCGCTTTAACAATTTACATATAATTCGCGGTGGATTTTAGGGGGATAAAATTCTATCGCGTGCATTTTAACATCATGTACGTATTTTTAATTTTCTTTTTTTCGAACGCTTTCTTCTGTATCGCGTACAGCGCGATACGGGATGTAAAATTAAAATTAGAATTCTATCGTGAATTAATTCGAACTTATTACGAATTGTATATACAGGTTTTCTAAATTAACTAAATAAAAATTGTAATAAAAAATGTCGTGGCAGAAACTGGGGAAAATGTTAATTCCTTATGTTATAATTAAGTAAACATCTCAACAGGTCTTAATGAGAGAAAAGTTAAATTTGACAAATTCACATAACTCTATTCTTTCAATTCACAGACAATGCAAAAAATACATTATAATTGTTGAAAATAAACATCAATACGGGTAATGATTTGTACACGATTATAAATTGAATATTTTCGTATATTTCTCAAACATATGTACGTGTATCGCAATGATCAGCAATTATTATTTTATTATTCTCGTCGCGATCGAGTTTGCAATTCGTTTTTTAGATCGCATTTGCATCCCCATTTTCCACGCATTTCAATTGGCACAAAGTAGGAAAAAGTATAGAAAATCGATAATACGATTTAATAACTTTCTCATGCACCAGACTGAAAAAAATTTGAATATTTCGACGTTTCACCATATGTAGGTATCTAAAGAGTTAATAACGACCGCACGTTGAAAAGGACCGTCGAATCTCGACGATCGCCAAGGCCGTCAAATAAGCTGATGCTGCAGAAACGTATTCGCGAATAGCGTATAAGCCTTTCATCAATGCGACGGATTTTCCGTGATCAGCGAGTCATCGTTTCAATTTTTTCTTACATATATTTCGCATGCTTTTGTTTCACATATACGAAAACAATTCATATGAGAAAAAATCAGTAGAACAATTCCCATAGTAAATTATAGAAGATAAAATAAGTGTATTTAAAAATGCAAGCCGAGTATCAAACGATGTAAAATGAACGAAAATGAAGTTAATGATCGAAAAAAAAATGCAAACACCCCTCCACGTTCAAGAAACATTATTTACCTCAAAACTGTATTTCCGCGTAACTCAGTTTCCACCTTTATTCAAATTCAATTATCCGTAGTTTACCGAGTTCCTAATTTATTAATTAAAGAATTTGCATGCTGAGGAAAATCTTCCGCGACTGAATAAAACGCATAGATAAGACGGCAAACAAGAAAGATGGACGGCAAGGAAGGTAGGCGGGGAAATAAAGAACGAGGCAGGGAATTCTGGGCTGGATTATGCGCATCGTGGAAATTAATAAGAGGCACGATGTAAACGTGCACGGTTGAGAGAAACGCACCCTCCACGAAGAAAAGGATCGTTAATGCCAGGCTTGTTTTACTATTTCCTCCTTTTTTTTAATGCCGCTCCACGGGACGTCGATACGATGCGACTACGCGAATACATGACTTCCAACTCGAGCATCTCATAAATACGAGCAAATTCCCTCAAGTGGAGAGGCGAGCGGCTCATTCAACGGCGAAAGCGTGGACAAAATGTCTACGGCAAAGTTCCAAAAAAAAAAAAGAAAAAAAGAAAGAAAAAGGCAGATACATACATATCATACACGCGAAACTCGAGGGAAGAATTGCGAAATTAATTTACTCGCGGTCATAAGTGAACCACTTGTTTCGCGTATACGTTCGCTACGCCGATGATAGAACGGAGATTTTTCACCTGCGTCATTGCAGGTGTACTGCAAAATAATTTCAATACTTCCGATGCGGAGCTTACATACTCGCGAAATTAATTACGGTTGATTTCGATAATTCGTGGAAAAAAAAATAAATAAATAAATCTCCACCTCGTGATTTCATTTAATGGCTTGTTATTTTGCCGCTACTACTATCGCAAATTAGAGTCTATATATAATAACCATAAATTAATGTATAATAATTTTATCCCAATTTAATCTCGATTTAATCGCATTACTATAGTTCCGTAATAAAGTGGCTAATTATTGTCGCGTACATCAATATGATTATTATTTTAATCTCTCGACGATCGATAATTGTGATGCCCGAGTAAAAGCGCGAGTTATTACTTTATAGCAAAAATTACATGAATTATTGAAGCATCCTTCGATATATATAACGCGCGTTTAGATTCGTGCGTAGAAAAGGATTGAAAAATATGAAATTAGATTAGATTTACGAGATACGATTATTCTCCACGAGTCGATTTAGCACTCTGCTCTACGCACTCACGATAACGTAACGTTATTTCTGTAGAATTTCATTGCAACGCATTCAAACGTGCAGTCTGTAATCGCGATTCATATTCCAATGTATGGATTACTCCCGATCTATTTTCGAAATTAGGCTAAACTACTCGGACATAAACGTTTGACCTTACATACGAGAAGTATCGCCACATGTTCGCCCTATTTTTATCCTATCGAATGGCTCGAGAAAGTCTCGCTTTTGTGCGAACGAGTAACAATGCAGGAAAAATGGAAAAGGTAGCTCGCTTACAAATTTCTCTGTAAAGGTTTGTGAAAATTTCCTATTGGTTATAATCCTGCAAAATTTTCTTTATGCGTTTTCACCGCAGTGTAGTTTCATTTTTATCTCGGTTCAATTAACTCTTTATCCTCTTCTAGTTTTAAAAATTAGAAAAAAGAATAAGTAAAGAATAAGTCGAATCAAAATTAAAGTTACATATTGATAGAAACGGGCATCAATACAATTCTTAACTATCATTTTTGTCAAGTTAATAATTTAATATAAATGCGTATCTAATTAAATATTTTCAATTATCAGAGTTTTATATTTAATATACATTTTTGTGAATTTTATATTTCATGTCTATGTTTTTGAACCACACATTGTATTACTATTCAGAGAAATTAAAACAAAATGTAAAATACGAATAATTTACAAAATGTGAAATTTAAAATTTAAAATCGTTTTTAAAAATCAGAAGTCAGAAAATGACCAAAAATGTCAAGATATTTATTTAATCTATGTTACACATATGTATATCTTTTAATACTTATCTCATTAAGATATATTAATTAAAATTCATTAATAATATAGTCATAATAAAAATGACAATAAAGATACATCAATTAAGATTACATCGGAATAAAAATACAACTAGTTATATTTTTAGCATTATATACATAAATAAGAATTATGGAAAAATAAGTTCAAATATTTGTATTGATTTTCAACATTAACGTAATAATTTCGTAATAATTCTAATACTTTTACCTCTCTTTTAAAAAATTTTCTAAAAACGTCTTCGTACTACCATTCATCTAAGGATTTTCTTTACGCAGGAAATTACACGGGAAATTCATAAAGTGTTTTATTCAGCACATTACGCTGTGTTCCGAAGTTGATAAATTTTCATTAAGTTCTGATCACTCTTCCTCTTCTAAGATCTCTCGTCAATTTAGCCGTCTTTTTCACTATAGAAGCCATCATTTAATCATAGAGCAAACAAAACACTCTATCACGTTCTCTCGCACGCAAAATCGCGCATATTTTTAACGTTCGCGGTGAAAGGAACACTGAGGGAACGAGGTCACACATAAATCCAGTTAAATCTAGGAAAAGCGTAGCCAGAGCAATGAAGAAACATGCGCGCAAGCGTTACAACGACTTTTCGTGGTTTATGAATACGCCGGTAACAAAACTACGCAAAGTCCATTCAAATCTCTCTCTTTATGCTCTCGCACATCATTTGCCCGGGTTTTCATAACCCTTGACCCCCTTCGGATATTTTACTCTCGCCGATATGGTTATACCTCGGTCTTCAATCAAAGGCAAAATCGGGACTCCGGCGCAGCCCGAATTGCTTGCATCTGCCGCAATATTGGTGGCTTAGAAAATGTCAGTAACTCAGTCAGATACGATTATTGAAAATTTTTAGAGACTGCGAAATAAGATAAAATCGGAACTTTTATCCAAGATATTTATATTCAGAGAGTCGCTTTCTTAGCGAGAATTTAATTTAAAGTTTAATTATCGAGCTATTTAATATTATATATTAAAAGCTGAGAAGAGTAGGGGAAGATGAGATTATACTGTTAATACTTGGCACAAAGAATCGATATACCATTAATATATATATATTGTGTATATTAAAATCTATAACTAAA